TATTGGAATTTATTTTATTAGTTTCGATATATTGAATATAATTGACTACCGTCTTAATTAATGTTGGTATATTGTATGCTTCCAGTTATTAATGAAAAATTTAAATGTACGTATCTAATTTGTATTTTTCCTATAAATATATTCGCTCGATACGGATATGTAAAAGTATGTATAGTATTATGTATATAAAAATATAAATAAAAATATGTTAGTATTATGTAGTATTCTGATATACAATCTAGATTATCTTAAAGTTGCATCGATATCCAATCAGCAGTTTTTGTGTTGAAGACAAAAACAAACATACATTGATCATACATCTTTATAAAATGTATTTTCAGCTAAATACAAACTATGTCACTTTCGACTCGATTGTAAAACTTATTTTTTAAATAAGGCCTCTGAGGAACATAAAAATATTTTTGTAAAGGGAAAAGCTAAAACATTAAAAAACAAATATTTTAATACTAATATTACCTACACGAAGCAAACGGAATAAATAGTCTTGTAACTAACTCCAATTCGATAATAATACCAATATGTAAATCATTATATTTATTTACCATTTAACACCAAACAAAATCTTCGATTTTTCTTGTAGTTACCAATAACATAACAAATTTATTTATCCACAAAGTCTTTTCATGTTATTTTATGACAACGCTCCATTTCAAATCATATTTTATTCAAAAAATTTACGATTAAAAACTAAATGTTATACATATAATTGACTAACTGATTATATAACATGACTAATATAATGTATGTATGTATGTTTGTTTATAATCAATGATTATATAGAGAGGCGCTCCATCTAGGCAATGATCAAAATTATAAGTCAATTGGAAAGGTCGACTCGTAGATACGTGCTTACAAAACATTAATTCTAAACTAATACTAGAAGCTACATATGTATATATACTTAGGAATTTATTTTATATGATTTTTTTAGACTGATATTAGATCGCTGTCATTCTGCGACCATATATAAACATACATATATATACGAGACGAAACCTCTCATCATTCAATGTATTCACCGTGCGTATGTCGGGTCCATAATTGCAGGGAGAGGAGCTTCAACAGTGACTGGGACTTGCGACCCAGGTGTAGTTTTAAACCCCTATCTAACGCGCGTTAAACGCTCAGCACTATCCAAGCTCCTCTCTCTAATATATATGGAAAAATCCCATACAATTTCCAACTTACAAACTCCCTTTATAACGTATCGTGATAGAGATATTGTATTTTTTATCAAATCCAAAGATCAACAAAAACTTCTTCAAAGTTCATTGTAATTGTTATGTAACGAACATCACGACTGAAGTCAGGAGATAATCAAACAAGTATTTTTTGCTATGTCACTAAAGTTTTTATATGATTTTGTATCTAGTCATTACCAATATAAATAATAAAAGGCATTATGTTGTTTTATCAAGTAATATTATAGAAATAAACGTCGGGGATAGTGCAAAACCGCGTAACTAACATTGGATAATTATGCATATCTACACTGTGAAAAAATTACCTTAAAAGTCGTTAATTTAGAAAATATTTTAGCTTAAACTTTCCTCTGATAATTTGCTTCCATTGCAGTCAGTGGTCATATAGTCAATGGTGGTCTAGAGGTTAAAAGGCCCGCCTCTCATGCACGAGGGCGCGGGTTCGATCCTGGCCCTGGCAAGTACCAATGTGATTTTTCCGTATCATATGTACTTTCTAAGAGTATTTAGACATCACTTATTAATGCATTCCCAAATAGGGTTGATGTCAGGCAGGCGGCGGTAAAAACAATTAGCCAAAACTATTCACAACATGTAAGGCATATCCTAGCTACAAGTGGGAAATTACCAGGTAGAAGAAATTAAGCGGTTTTGCACTATCACCGAAGATATGATAAAAATCGGCATATACGTTGTAAAATCTATCTTTCATGCGCTTACTCTAGTTACCAAATCGTATCTATTCTGAGTACACTTGTAGTATATATTCCTTAGAATCTCGTAGGAACGTAAATTTAAATTGAGTTCGCATGAAACAGACTCTTTAAAAATAACCTGAAATTCGTAAACATTTACTCTCAGACGTGTGCACGTTTTTGTGAAAGCTTTGAGTTTGAAAATAAAATGAATACAAAAAATTCTGTTTCTGTTTATTAAAAAAAATATTCAGTTTTATCATATACATTAATTAGATGCTAGCTGTGCCAGGAGACTGTCCGCTTTGAGCGGTATGTTTATTATTGATACTACATAATCAAAATAAATATAATTTGTTTTCTAACGTAAGTATCATATTCACCCTATTTTTACTTCTAGTACGAATGAATGTATACACAATATTGTATATACATTTGTATGGTTCATAAATTGCGGGTTTCTAAACAGTGACGCAATTGTAATATCGATTTTCAGAACTACATTTTTTTCTTGCACATTTCTCTGAAAATGCCCTATTTGACGTAATATGTGACATTACTTTGATTTTTTTATAGCATTTTATTCACATTTGTCTTAAAAAATACTGATATATATTGATATTTTATCAATTTCTTTAATAATATTGCTCTTTTATGTTTATAACTTCCAGAGAGTTTTCTATGAGATTCCTCGATTTAAAACTTCTATACTAGATAAACGAACATTTTGGTATAATTTCAGAGCTTTGTCATAATTTAACAAGATAGAAACATACACACATAATAATTATATAATATTAAAGTATACAATATATTATAGTCAGTGGTGTCCTAGTGGTTAAAAGGCCCGCCTCTCATGCACGAGGGCGCGGGTTCGATCCTGGCTAGTAACAATATGATTTTTCTAAGTCATATGTATGTACTTTCTAAGAGTATTTTGACATCACCGATTAATGCATTCCCAAAGAGGGTTGATGTCAGGCAGGCGGCCGGTAAAAACAATAAACCAAAACTATTCACAAAATGTAAGGCAGACCCTGGCTAAAGCTGGGAAATTGCCAGGAAGAATAACATTAAAGTATACAATATGCGTTCAATTAAGATCGACGATCATCTTATCGATAGAGGCACAAGAATCACAATATAATGAGAAAAACAATACATTTACAATTCCATATACATAACGTGTAAAACTGACGTGATTGGAATATAAGTTGGTAATGATATCATATACTTACCTTATATTAAATACAATAGGTAATGATATCAATATTTATACTATTGTATATTAAATATTCGTGTTTTATATGAAGTCTTGTATTGACGTTGGTAATCAGACGTTGATGTTACACTAATATAAATGAGTGTATATTTATATATTATCATTACATAAAACAGTTAGCCAAAACTATTTACAACATGTTCTGTGAGAAGAACATGTGACGGACCCTACATAAAGTGGGATCAGGGCAGGAAAAAAATAGTATCATTACATAAAGAAAAACTAGATTTAGAACTACATTTTAGTGTAATTTTAACAATTGTAAGAACGGACTAATAGCATTTAGGTATCAGTAGATATATACCTATCAATAAATATGTAGGAAGCGACATAATATTACATATAATAAAAAATCCCCGGAATTTTTATATAAATTCAATATACATAGAAAAAATTACTGATAAATTTTCCATACTTCTCGTATTCTAGTGGGTTTTAATATGTTAAATAAGCGAGTATAGTAGCTTTTTAAAATGCTTATGGATCCGATACCCGTCTTTTAAATCTATTAAATTAACAATTTAAAACAAATGAAAGCCGTTTTCTATTTAGCTTTATATTCAATATGTCGTTTTAAACTCTTTCTGTGACTTTTACTTTCAATGTACATAATACATATTATTGTATAAGGTGACACAAACATACACAGATCACTTTCACACAGAGCCCTCATTTGCATATATCGACAGGTTTATGTATTTATTTATAACAGAGAAAGCATTCAAATCAAATTAAATATAATGATTTTCATTTAATATATGTTTATATTGCTCTATGTAAAATTCTAGTCAGTGGTGGCCTAGTGGTTAGAGGGCCCGCCTCTTGTTGCCGAGGGCGCGGGTTCGATCCTGGCCTGGGCAAGTACCAATGTGATTCTTCCGAGTCATATGTACTTTCTAATAGTATTTAGACATCACTGATTAATGCATTCCCAAAGAGGGTTGATGTCAGGCAGGCGGCCGGTCGTAAAAAACAATAAGCCAAAACTATTCACAACATCTTAAGGCAGACCCTGGCTACAGGCAGGAAATTACCAGGTAGAAGAAGAAGAAGATTGCTCTATGTAAAATTCTAACAAATTCGCGGATACCAAATTAATACGCACACACAGTAATGCGTTTCTAATTGTGTTAACACAAACAATATGTGTGTACGGCGGCCAGCGGTTATGTTAATACTGTATTGTGTTGTCACACACTGTATGAACGGCGGCACGGTGAGTTACACTCACAAAGAAATGTTTACACATGACATAATTAAAATTAACTTCAAAATACTCCGCGATTATTCGGGCGTTTGGACAATTGGGAGGTGAACTTGGAAGGCAAGGACTTAATCAAAAAGATGACGTGACCAATATATCGATGGCTCCTATGTATAGGGGCCAATGTGTAAAAAGACAATTTTTCAGTAGAGGCGTTTTAAATTTGATTTCAATGTATCTTGTACATGCGACAATTGATGCTGTTGTATCTTTGCATTGCAACTATGGCATACATGAACGTCATTTAAACTTGATAAAGTTTTTTGTAAAGTTACTAGCTTACATCAATAAATACACTTTTTTGTATATATATGTTGTAGAATACCTACAGTATTATGAAGTGTTTAAAGCAAAAAAAATTAAATTGCTACATTGACCCTTATACATAGTACCCTTCGATATATGACACATATAACCTACATAAATGACCAAATATCACTACTATAGCAAACAATTTAGGCTAATATGTACTGCACGCGTAAATCGTCCTTATACTCTCTTATCATTAGGTATATATCTGTGTGTACTATACTGACCTTATGATAGGTATCCTTCTGCCAGTTCTTGATCTGTGCTATGACGTCATTCACCAGTCTATCCCTGACACTGAGGTGTAGGTCTGACAGCCTCTCAGCCTCAACCATACCGCCTTTCCAAGCTGCTTCCATAGTACCATATTCTGGACCTGGTATACATATTACATATAATCGATTAATCCGAATAAAACATACATTAAATCAAAAACTGAGCCAAAATTTTATGAGAATATACGCAATATAAAATAATCTTCTTTTTAAATTTCATTACGTAGTCAAAAAAAGATTGTACATCAAAAAATATTAACAGAAATCTAAGGTATAAAATAATTATATTTATATGAGAACAATACTATTTTTTACGTTTCATGAAAATACCTATACATTTATCATCAAACAGCAGGTAAGATATGTGGCATTCAATGATTTTCCGGTTTTATGTAGAGCTGTAAACCAATAAGGAGCTTAAAACATGTGGGTCACTCGTAACATACTGACCTACATACGGTTACTATAGAAGAATAAACGAGAGATAAACCTCTACTATTGTAAATATTAATTATTTTTTATATACTGAAAAATTATATATTAAATAAAATATCAAAATGTTTCAAACAATCAAAATTGTATAACAACCTTGACGAAAAGTTGTGAATTAATTTTATTGTGTACAAAGCATATTGTTATATATTTATTTTTTATCATATATAGTAATTATTGTTATAAATATAGTCAACTATAATAAACTTCAATTATTTATACATTTAAAAATTAACAAGTTAAAATACAAGTTGTATCTAATTTATTTAAATCGATTTTAGAAATAAATACAAAAGTAATGTACCATTTTATTGATCCTTTAACAAATATATATATGTTATTCTTTTTAGTTTAGTTATCACTTTTTTCCTTTTCCTAGTTATCCATTTCCAAATCAAATTTCATACAAATCGATCCAAAAATATCTTATAATGTAACAGATTGACGATCACTTTCGCATTTATAATATTAATACCAAATGATTGATCACCGCTGTGCGGTCTCTTTGTACGCAACATTCCTACGAGCTACAGGCCACTCTAGGCTACCTGACCAACATTTAACTTACGTGTCATTAATCAACGTATATTAATATGTCATCTTGTTACATAACAATTACACAATAAGTAGTTAACAATGAGTCGTTAAGAACCCGTCTCGAATAGGACACCCGGACTTTCTCTTGCGCATAATATTATACAGGAATATTTTCATTTTAAATGAAATACGAGAAAATATGTATTTATATTTCAAAATAAATGTAAATAAAATCACATTCCTGGAATTCATCAGCAAAATTCTAAAACAGATTCAGTGAGTAATTGCGAACTCAAACAGAAATTCTGCATAATTATAATTAAAATTTGCGCTAGAGCTAATTCTCTCAGTTATTATTAAAATAAATAAATATTTATGTACTCATATGACGCGTATATACAGGGTGACTGGTGAATTACTATCAATATTTAAGGAGAATACTCGGTACATGGTTCTCATTCGAATTATGTAAAAAAAATAGGTACTTAATTTTTGACCAAATTTCCGTATAAATAAATTAAGTGTGGACACGTTCCAAGTGTGGACGCGTGCGGCGGCGTGCTGATACAACACCACGCCCCGCACGCGCGTGTGTGTGTGTGTGTATAATTTTGTTAACACAAGTCTAAATAACCTCAGTTATATAATTCATTATCTTTGCATATTCAGTATTGTGATACTTCCTACCCACGTCACGTACCCGACCCGATCGACATCTGAATCGTGTCGTCGTCGCGTGTATTGAATAGATCATTGAACACAAAATAACTTTCGATTTCATTCTCAATTTATTATTCAGTACACTTAAAAATCGAAGTTCGGTGTTGAATATTCAAAAAATCCGAGTGAAAACAAATAATGGTATATAGAAAACAGTGATTTATTGAAATACGAAACGAAATATTATACGAAAAAGTTTTGTTCTGATTTGATTTTTTCATATACATATTTTCAAAAACGTTTTATTAATTCCAGTGATAAAGTAAGTCATAATAATAACATTTTCTTAATATTTTAACAAGTAGTTCTTGTAAAATGCACGGGAAAATCTGTAGGTACGTAGGTTCAAATTTGTGCCTGTTTCTTTTAATGAATCTGAATTTTTCTATTAACATAATATATACCTATTCCTTGTTACGATTTTTTTTGGATCGATCACATCAACAAATGAAAACATATGTACATACTGGTACATAGTACTTTGTTTTACTAATAAATTGTATGTAAAAATTATTACCATAGCAGAGAATTGTTTGTCACAATTAACCTTGTTAGATGGAAAATTAATTCAACCGACGGAACCAATTCAATTATATACCATATAAATTTAACATATGCCGTTTTAATATTCATATTTCAAGCAAATATTACTTATGTTTTATCTCATACAATATAAAAGCTAGAACAATTGAAATCTTCATAAAACTGTCGCATAACATCTGCGAAATCTAGATGATATATAAAGATAATTTGACGACAGAAAACAGTTATATGGAGACATTACTTCTTACATTTTGAAGCATCATACACTGTGAAACTTTTATCACATATAGAGATACGTTCCTTTTAAAAGAGTCAAGTAATTCCCACTTTCTAGAGCAACGGAAGTTATAACGTGGAACATTCACGAGCTCAATGAACAGTCGATTACGAGCGTCTAGAAATAAAACTATACATAAAGACACATTCAAAAACACCTCCGCGAATATATAGAAACTAGAAGACCTGGCGAACTTCGTATCGCCCTATAATCAAGAAATATTTATTACGTTTTTTTATTTATATTTTTAGAGTTTACCTGTAAGCCATAAATCTCCGTGTTTTGAAGTGCGACAGAATGATTGGCATATTTATTTATTTATTTATTTATTTATTTGGATTGCCAACAAGGTATACACAAATATAAACATATAAATTATTACAATCAAGATGTTGTGTGCTACCTTAGTTACAGGCAACCACTACATGCTTAAATAGTAACAGAGTGCATCACAAGGTTAACATTTTGGTTTTAATATATTGTAGTTTAGATACAGAACAAACAAATAAGAAAAAAAAAAAAAATCTAAGCTTAATTAGTTAAAAATTTTTGAATTGTTTTTTTAAATTCTAGAGGCCTTCCAGAAAATATATCGATTTTAGTATCTTTATAGAGAGAGTTAAACTTTAAAGTCATTCTATTCAAAGGTGAATAATGTGCGAGATTACTTTTGCATTTTTTTGTGTTGAACGGAGTATACACGAGCATTCTTGGGAGTTTAACTGGTGCATTTAAGTATAGTTTAGAAAGTAATTGCGGGCTGTCTATATCTTTATTTATAATTTTGAACAGAAATGTATAATCAAGTATTTCTCTTCTATTTTGTAGAGAATCAAGGTTAAAGTATTTTAATCGGTCAATGTAATGAGGATGTGTTTTAGTTATGTTACAACTATAAGACAGGTGCCACAAAAACCTCTTTTGAACCCGTTCTATTCTTTTTATATATACTTCATAATGTGGATTCCAGACATTGCTACAGTATTCTAGCGTACTGCGCACTAGAGTATTATAAAGATTAATTTTACTTGACACCCTTTTAAAGTCCCTACCATTACGTAATATGAATCCTAGTGTTTTAAAGCTTTTATTAATTATATGATCAATATGTAGGTGAAAGCGGAGCTTTGAGTCGAAGATTACTCCTAAGTCCCGAACACTGGTAACTTCCTTTAACTTTTTGTTTTTAAAAGTATAATAGTATACTAAATCAGACTTGTTTCTCGAAAATCTGATAAAAAGACATTTTTCGATGTTCATAGACATTCTGTTGTTGTCGCACCAGTCACTGAGCTTACACAAGTCCTCGTTAAGCAATTTAGCGTCGTTAAGATTGTGAATAGGTTTCATAAGTTTAAGATCATCGGCAAATAGATAGTAACGAGAATGGTTAAAGCACATTGTAAGATCGTTAATAAAAATGTTAAAAAACAATGGCCCAAGGTGGGAGCCCTGCGGAATTCCAGATAAAACACTAAATGATTCAGAGAAGTATCCTTTAACGGCTACAATTGACCTTCGCTCACTTAAATATGAAGCACACCATTCTAAAATGCGTCCACATATACCGTGTCCTAAAAGCTTTGAGATTAGTATCTTATGGTCAACTCGATCAAACGCCTTGCTGAAGTCAGTATATATGACGTGGACTGGCACTTTAGCATCAATCGAGTCACATAAATCCTCCACGTAGGAGATCAAGTTAGTATTTGTGGAACGAGATTTATAGAAACCATGCTGATGTGGTGAAATAAGTTGTTTTACATGCCATGCAATATAAGGATATAACAGGGATTCCAGTACCTTACCGAGAATTGATAACAAGGATATCGGTCTATAATTATTTACTTGATTGGGGTCTCCGGATTTAAAAATAGGTATTACTAGGGATGTTTTCCAATATGTGGGGAAAATACCCGTAGAAAGTGATGTATTAAATATATGGTAAAGCGGGGCCGTCAATGCATCAGCACAATTAACGATAAAGTAAGATGGAATACCATCGAAACCTGCTCCTTTACATGGATTGAGACTTTTTAACGCTCTATGTATTTCCTTATGAGACAGAGTTATAGAACTGATAGTCCCAGATGAAGCTTCATGAGCAACATGAGTAGTTGCATTTAAATTGGAAGAGTTTGTACTATAATAGGATAAGAAGTTGGTAGCGAAAAGATTACATATCCCGTCACCACTATTAGCAACTTGATTATCAAGATACATTTGGGAAGGAAACTCAGTACCTTTTTTCCTTTTAGACTGTATGTAGGTGTAAAAAAGCTTCACATTCTTGGATAGAGAAGATTCAAGAAGATCTAAATAATTATTGTAACATTCAGTTTGAAGATGTTCACATCTAGATCTTAACAACTTAAATGACAAAACGTCGAGAGGATTTCCATACTTCCCTGCCCTGACTCTGTATTTATGTTTTTCTCGCAAAAGTCTAATTAGATTTTTTGAAAACCACACGGGATAACGATTTTTATTAAAATTCTTTTTAGGTACATACATACCAATTAAGACTCGAAGGACTGCATAAAAAGATGCAACCATCTCGTTCACATCTCCACACTTTGAAAATTTATCATCCCAATCTATATTCTGTAAAGCCTCTTGAATTTTACAATAATCAGCCTTAAAAAAATTATTTCTTAACATAATCTTAGATTCTAGTGACTTACCATTACTAAAATTTATTGAAAATTGTAAAGGAGGGTGGTGACCGTCAATTACACTTAAAATATCGTAGCTCGGTCCTAAGTTGACGACAGAAACATTGCTCAAGATAAGATCTAAAATTTTATTGTTCTTATTTGTCACGAAATTATATTGCTTTAAATCATTAAGTACAATGAAATCTATAAATAAGCTTGCAAATGAACTAGAGGTAGGATTAAAATTTGTATACTGTGAATCAACTGTATGTGACCACTCAATATTACTCATATTAAAGTCGCCCACGATTAACGTTTTATTACCAGTTTCCATAACACGGTTAGTGTTAGCAATAAAGTGTTCTAATACATGTTTCTGAATAGCGGGGGGTAGATATACTGCACAAATATAAAAATGAGATGGGCGGCCGCCATTATCAATCTCGACAGAAATCCATAAGTCCTCGCATTCACTTTCGAAGGATTTAATTCTTTTCGAATTTAATAATTTTGACACCGCGATTAGTACACCACCTCCCGTTTTTTTATTGCAAATAGAACTGGATTCCCTATCCCTCCTGTAGACAATGTATCTGTCGTCAAATAGTTCCGAATCCGAAACACCATTGTGAAGCCAAGTTTCACACAAGACAATAATATCATAATTACTACATATAACATTGTTATAAAATTCCAACGTTTTTGTATTTAATCCTCGAACGTTTTGGAAATAGCAATTAAACGATGTGAATTAGACAAATAATCATTTAAACCAAATCAATACACAAAAAAAGGAATTTACCTTAACTTATCTCAGATTATTTTTGATAGGGTATCAATACTATTAACAACAATGATTTTTGAAATTTCGGTCTTACGTATAAATATTTTTCCGCCGCGAACCCACACGAATTTATATTGCAGCTCCTTTGCTTTAAGTCTGGCCTTCATATGTAGGGATTTCAACTCTGGAGACAGGTGTTCCACTACATATATGGGCTTTTTATCCCCACCAATCCCTAGGTGGCTAGAGTTTATTTTATCCAAAGGGTTATTCTTGTTGAATTGTATGACGCCAGCAAGTACATTATCCCGTATACGTGGAGAACGAAACTTGACCAATATGGAACGAGGCCTGGAGCTAGAGGAGTCGTATTTCATGGTGCGCGCACAGTAATCAATATCCTTGGCATCGATAGGGCATTTGATAATATTACCCAATTGAGCCACGATGGTGAGCAGGTTCTCGGATTTGTGCTCGGGGACACACTGAATTTCGAGGTTATTAGCCCGCACCAAATGATCCAACTGGCTTATTCTAGAACTTAAGTTGTTAACAGTTGTGTGCAACATTTCATTTTCCTTAAGGAGGCTGTTAATATTATCCGACTGCGTTATATATTGTACCTTAAGATCTTCATATTTTTCGTTAATAAAATTCATTGATTCCTTAAAAATGGATATTTCTTCATGTATATTTTTCAGTTGCAAACTAAGCTTCGAGTTCAGTATTTCATCGAGGCTACGAACTATTGTTTCGCGGACTTCGGTTTTAATTATATCACGTAAATTATCTTCCGAGATGCAATGACACTGTTCACTATGGCTGGATATGTCGTCCAAGCGGTTTTTAAATCTTTGCGTGACACGTTCATGGTCTATCAAACTTTCGACTCGAGAATCTAATACCGGACGCACTGGTGAATTCATATAGTCACGTTTAGGTTGCTTACGTTTACAGCTTGGACATAACCAATTACATTTAAACTCAGATGTTAGCTTCGTAGAGGTTTTTTGCGATATATTAACGCATAAACAATGATAGCTATTTGAACAATCAGTGCATTCCAGAGAATCATTCTTGTTTACGTTTTTATTGCATGCCGCACACTTCGTAGACATTGTATAAGCGGCGCTTGAGATTGCAGTCTACGAATGTACGTATGTATAGTTTTTTCAAGTTGCAACGACAACGTTTAGAGACGAATGAGTGCCTTCGTGCGTTATCGGGAAGTGTCGGTGACGTCGCCCGTGGATCACACTAGGATCTCGTTCACTCGAGAGAGATGAAAAATAACTATTCCTCTCTTTTACCCGAAGTGCGCGGGTAAAGGGGGGTGATACACAATGGTCACTTTATGTAGAATATCACTAAGCAAACTTGTCACTTATGTTAACTAATTATTAGTTCCAATTTAGCACGAGATGTATTTAAACTTTCATAAAATAAGCGATAACACGTCTATCACTGATCATAACTCGAACACGAAGTTAGTAGAAGTTAGTTAGTGTCAAATCTAATGTCAAAAAAAACGTTTGTATGGGAAATAGAAAAGGGCTGTTTTTATGGTTTTCCCAGTAATGAATCCATTTTTTTCAGCTTTTATACCTTCCCTGAACCTCCACGAACATTTCAAGACTAAGTTAAGATAAATCTGTTAAGCTGTTCTTAAGTTTTAGCGAGACTAAGGAACAGCAATCCATTTTTATATATATAGATAGAAGATAGATTACAGACGAGTTACAACAAAAAGTTGAATGAATGGATCAATGGTTTTAAACGAAATTATGGCCCAAATTATTTTATATTAGACTGTATGCGGGTAGATTATGTTTGACAATCAATCTCATCCCATTAATGTATGCCACTCGAGGAACCATCAATAAATCATGCTTATGAACAGACTTCCGCTGATATCCGCTTACTCCTTTCATGTTTTGTAAACTTCGGACGGTAGACATAGTTGTGTTCAGTAGTTTATAGCTACTGCCTTTGTAATACTAACATAAACCGTGACTTTAGCTCGTTTATTTGACACGTCTGGAATTCCTTGACTGATCTTTTTATAGTTAAGAAACATCTTCTATATAAGGATGGTTTTAGAATAACATTCGTAAAAAATATTTTACGACGAAAGATGTGATGATTATGTAACTTTAAATTTTGATATTAAATATAAATATTCCTTATAATTAAGTTAATACTCAAAACTTTTTTAGCGAATTATTTTTATATTGGTAACGTGTAGCCCAAATGCAAGACCAAGATTAGACTTGGCCAGTCTTGGTCTTGTTCTTGCTTAAATCTTGCACAGTTAGCCTTAATCTTGGTCTTGCAAAAAATATCTGGTGTTGGTCTTACAAAAATGCAAGACCGAAACCTATTTCGGGCAATACTACGTATACTAGTTTGTTCTCATCTATTCATCACTATTAACGAGGTAATCATAAATACATAAACGAAACTTTCCTCATACATTTTAGTCAAAAATATAATTCAAATATCTAACCTTTTTCAATGAGATCATTCCATTTCTTGGCCCATCCTCTCAAACTCTTGGCGTATGTCTTCTCGATGTCAGCTCTCTCCTGCACCAGGGCCTGTAGTTCGCTACACAGCCTGTGCCCGTCGTCTATCCTCCTGGTAGTCCTCTTGTAGTTCCCCGGCTCCCAGAATGAGTCCGAGGTGACCGTCAGCAGCGCCTGCTCGTCGCTGTGGTGCGACATGGCGGTGCGACACTCACACACCGCCCCTCTGTAGATACAAATATAATATTATATATCTATATTTAGTTTTGATGTAAAAAGAAAATACAGCTCTAAGCTATTTGGAATAAATAGTGCTTTATTCCTATTCCAAATTAATATAAAATACATAGTTCTAAGTATAGAAGTGTTAGATATACATCACATATGAAATTCTTTGATAATCCAAAGCTTAACTTCGTCTATATTAAAAAAATAATTGCAAATATTGTCCTATATTTTTAACGAATTAAATCCCATTAAAAGTATTTCTTCCTTTTAGAATGTAATATTATGCATAGAATATTATATTTAAATGAAATATTGTGCTTATTTTCAGACCATTCATTGTAAGAACATAATTCTCTACAATATCGAGATCATACTCGCCACAATACTCAAGCATGTAATTCCATAGCAATGTTAATTGCCAATTTACAAATAAACACCAAATTTTAAATTCATTGGTTCTTTTTACGATTTACGTCACGCTTTCTTCACATTGAGGCTGTATGTGTAATACTTTCACCAGATTTATTAGTAAAAAATTTAATATATATGTTTTTGATGAAATGCATTATTAATCACACTATATAGATTAAATAAGACAAATTATTTATTGTATATACGTTACTTACTCTATTGTAAATACATTTTTATCTCAATACTGTATTTACTTTTGCATGACCAAGTCATTTTAATGAAGAAACAATTTCAAATAATGAAAAATAAACCACCTTTCCCATTTTAAATATTCTTTTGAATCCATTGAACTATAATTATTGAGAACTAGAAGACCTGGCGAACTTCGTATCGCCCTATAATCAAGAAATATCTATTACGTTTTTCTATTTATATTTTTGGAGTTTACCTGTAACTTGTAAGCCATAAATCTCCGTGTTTTGAAGTGCGACAGAATGATTGACATATTAGTTAGTTGTCAAATCTAATGTCAAAAAAAAAAAACGTTTGTTTGGGAAATAGCAAAGGGCTGTTTTTATGGTTTTCCCAGTAATGAATCAATTTTTTTCAGCGTTTATACCTTCCCTGAACCTTCACGAACATTTCAAGACTAAGATAAGATAAATCCGTTCAGCTGTTCTCGAGTTTTAGCGAGACTAAGGAACAGCAATCCATTTTTATATATATAGAAGATAGAAGATAATAATTTATTCAAATAAAATCTAATTAACATATTTGCATAATAAAAGTTCGAGCTATAAATATAAATTGCAAAACGTAACTACAACAGAATAAAACTCTTCAAGTGGAACAACGGTAGTTTAATAACAGATTCATAACTACATTTTGAATACTTTCATACTGTCAGTATGATCGTCATCGTATTAAACACTTACTAATACCATACTTATGATCCAACACAAGTTACGTAACCGTCCGTGAAGCGAGTTACATCGATTCAAACCTAATAGTACTATGTAATTATTGTACAACTTATAAAGATGCATGACCAAGTTGCAACAGCGCATTGCGTTGCGAAATTATTAAAAATGTCGAGGCGTATATAGTTTTATTACGAACACACACACATATATATATTTATGTGCCTGTGTGTTTGTGCGTGGAGCAGGAGAGATCCATCGAATTAATCTATGTATGTCTGGATTATTATTTTTACCTTTCAACTAATGTACCTAAAACATACTAATCTAATTTTTCATGTACAAGCTGTCAGTACATAAAATATAGCTATTGTCTTCAATTAAAAAAAATTAACGATGCGACGAGTTATAAACACAAATTGTAAAGTAATTTTCCGTTCCAATCACTATACAAAAGATGAAAACCCCGAAGCCTAATAAGTTTGTATAATTCTTCTTCTACCTGGCAATTTCCCAGCTAAAGCCAGGGTATATTCAGTATAATTCTTGTTATAAGTAATATTAATTTAATTTAATTTTAATTTCATTGGCATGTTAAAAATACCACTATCCTATTATCACAAAAATGTATATAGAAATTATATATACAAAAATTCTGACAAATATTTATATATACCAATGATGACACTATAGTCGTATAATTATCATCAATAAACACAACTCTCATAATCACGTGTCCATACAACTGTAGCGGTATTCGACCTTCGTATTTGAATACCAACTGCGAAGATAATATTACGACATAACAAGCAGATCTCATCAGAGATAGTTACTCATAATAATTATACGGGTTATAAAAATTATATGGTTTAGGATTCCTTTAATGTAAAATACATATGAATGTATGTTTATTATACACAGGGTGACTGGTGAATTACTATCAATATTTAAGGAGAATACTCGGTACATGATTCTCATTCGAATTATGTAAAAAAAATAGGTACTTAATTTTTGACCAAATTTCCGTATAAATAAATAAAGTGTTGACACGTTCCAAATATCGATATATATATAGATATATATACACGTGTTTAAACATGATTAATAGCAAAAGAATTTTTCTATTTATAATCATTTGTATTTAATTATTTCAGTCGAACTGTTTCATTTAACTGAACATTTTATTTCAAGTAACAAATATACTTTTTTTACACATTACTAATACATAATGTTGATAGCTTTCTATTTAATATATAATCATAAAGTCCGTAACAAATGTTTTTTTCTTTTCTTTATATTCCATAAATAGAAATATATTTTTCTAATAATATATAATATATTTATATCTACAAATTTATAATTAAACTATCTTGATGGAGATTTCAAGAAAAGAGATTTTTTCAGTGGCTGTTCTAGAAAATAATTTTTCATATTTAATTTTTCTTTATGAAATAACATTGAACTATATTAAAACATTATTATATGAACCGTACATATTGCTATATTTTTTATATATATAAATCGTTATAGCAATCAAATAATTAACTTACCCAAAAAATTCAAACACATGATGCATTTTACCCTTGCACTTTCTCATTCTTCTTCTATTCTTTATTTTCGTCATTATAAATAAATATTATATTGAGTTGTTGTTAAAACAAATTCTATTTTATATTTATATCCCTGGAATGTTTCCACGTAACTAAGCTATGTTTAAAAGACTCAGAGTATATGATTACATCAAGGAGATGAGTATGTAGGAACTGATATATGAATCAGTGTGTACATCACTAGTGATAATTATGATTAATTATAACCATCTTAAAATAAAACGAGTTATGTAATTACGCAAACACTATATGTATCAGTCTATATACATATACAGGGTGACTGGTGAATTACTATCAATATTTAAGGAGCATACTCGGTACATGATTCTCATTCGAATTATGTAAAAAAAATAGGTACTTAATTTTTAACCAAATTTCCGTATAAATAAATAAAGTGTGTACACGTTCCAAGTGTTCCAAGTGTGGACGCGTGCGGCGGCGTGCTGATACAACAACACGCCGCCGCGCGCGAGTGTGTGTGTGTGTGTGTGTATACCTAATCTGTAGGGTGTTCATACGATGGTACAAACACTTTTGGTTAACTTTACTTAGAAGTTTATTAATATTTATGTTATATTAATTTTTATTTTGTCATATATGATCGTCAAATATCACGTCCTCAAATATCGGTAGTAATTCACCAGTCACCCTGTGATAGTGATAAAATAATAACACTAAAATGACGATTTATATATTAAAAAAGTTTAATTATTTTATTCATATAATTCTAAACACAAATTTTAAAACTTTAAGTCATTTTACTAATACACACACTATGTACATACATACATATACATATGCCATATAAATTTTTTTGGAAATATTCTAGTTTCGCCGTTCCTAAGACAGTACTGGTTCAAAATTATAATGAATATCAATATAAATGCAAGATAAACGTATTATGTATTAAATAAAATAATTGAAATGCGTCAGATACTAGATCAGGGACCTTTCGTGCGAGCGTTAATTGAGTGTGAACAACACAGCTTCCTAGTTAGAATGTAACGTTACTTAAATTGTATATTTGACAGAATACTAACTAAGAGTACTATAGTTTTATATAGTATAGTATGGAAGTCAGTGGTGGCCTAGTGGTTAAAAAGCCCGCCTCTCATGCACAAGGGCGCGGGTTCGATCCTGGCAAGTACCAATGTGATTTCTCCGAGTCATATGTACTTTCTAAGAGTATTTAGATATCACTGATTAATGCATTCCCAAAGAGAGTTGATGTCAGGCAGGCGGCCGGTCGTAAAAACAAATAGCCAAAACTATTCACAACATGTAAGGCAGACCCTGACTAAAGCTGGGAAATTGGCAGGTAGAAGAAGAAGATAGTATGGAATTATATTAATGCAATTTTTTTATATTGCATAGAGACGAAACCTATCAGAATTCAATGTATTCACCGTGCGAGTGCCGGGTCAATCGTTGCAGGAGGAGCTTCAACATTGCATAGTACTTGTGGCCCACGTATAAAATTGATAAATTTTTATATAATATTATGGGTATGTAAACAAACTTTAGTTAGAAATCATTGTAGCGTGACGGACACACGACCGGTTCAACTCGTCACAGCATTAGCGACTCAACCGGTACACCTTACATTGAATTAGAAAAAAATACTTTTCAAACGTTAGCTTTGACAATGATTATATAAAAAATCCTATTTACTATCGAATAATCCTATATATGTATGACAACTCAATATAATATTTTTATCTCCTCACTTTTAGATACGTATATACATACAATCACTTCTTATTATAGAGTTATGACGTCACTACTAATTTTATTTAAAACAGTCAGCTGTGATCACATCTAACGGATCATCATTTCAACACAATAACACACGAAACACTTCATTATATAAATATATACAACGAATGATCAGCACATTTAGCGAGCCTGTACTAAATTTTATTATAATAAAACAATAGACAGGTATCAAGTATATTTGTATCGACTGTATCGCTTCTCGTTTCAGACTGAACTGTTCTCGAAAATACTTTAAAAAATTCTGTTTATACTC